CCAACCAGGTGACTTGCGGCGTGAGGTGTTCTGTTCGGTGGGATCATCGCTCTTGTGCCCCGCGAAGTGTTGGGCTGGTTTAGCGGCCGTACTTAAGCGTGTGGGGAGTCGCGTTCCTCTCCGTCATCGCCGCAGCACAGGTGTTCTCCGAGAGACGCGAAGCCCATCCTTTCACCAGGCCGCTTGCTTCCCCTGGGGAGCAGGAGCAGAGCTTCCCCAGGTGTCGGTTTGCTGGTAGAAACTGAGCCTTTCCAGTGCAGATCTGTTCTGTGGTGGTCGGATGTAAAGCTGGGAGCTCTGACCTTCCAGACTCAGAGCTGAGTTTGCTGGTGCTGTGTTCTCCATAGCTGCTGCGTTTCACCTCTGTGATGGATGCATTCAGCTCTTTGACCAAACTCGTGGCAGTTTGGTTCAGTCTCCAAAGGAAGTAAAGGCCTTGGCTGTAACCAGGCAAAGAACAAGTTCCAACTTATTCTTTGCAAACCCACACAAGAACAGGGTGATGTGGTGAGCATCGATGTGTATGGACCTGGAAACTGGAACAACCGTCATGCGATTGACACATGAATAGCACGTGGTTCTTCCAAGACTCATTTAGTGAGGAACAAAGAAAGCTGTGGGTACAAGGAGTCTCACACTTACCTTTTCCATCCTAGGTAACCTGACTGCGAGCCAGCCACTTGATTCCATAAGTGTGACAGCCTGAGCGAGCCACCTCTGAGCTCTCCCTGCTAAGCAGCTGGCTGCACAGCGGTGATCTGCCCTTGAGCTGGGACGCCTCTCGAGGTTACGCCTCTAGGCTGAGAGACCCCTTACCAACCGCGTATCTGTGGTAAGTGACCCGTATTGCACATAACGTTGTATTATACCGCACTAGCTCTTGTGTTGGTAACATTGAATCATTATTGTATCCTCTGCAGTAAGAGAGTGAACCTTGCCTCTGAAGTTTTAAGTCTCACAACATCTTCAATAAAACCCATTTACTGATACCTTTGGTGGTTCTTCAAGGGATCTTATTCCCCCCGGAACAACATCAGATGTGTCTACTTTCCCATGAAGCTGTCCCTGTGCCTAATGTGCATCTCTGTTGGAAGCAGTAGAGGGTAGGCGTTGCTATACGGTGAGGGTGTCTTTATTTAGACACAGTAAAGACATGGTGTTGCTCTGGTATCAGGAGGTCAGTCGGTTTGGGGTCGTGACAAGGTTTTGAAAGGTCTGGGGGTGAGAGGCTTATCACTGTGTCCATGCCCATGCCCTGGTCATCTGGAGTAGCTGCTGATGTAGATGCCCAGAATTTGGATATTCAGCAGCTGAGTAATGAAGCGTTGTTTCACCGAGCCGTATTAACCAACTGCACTTTATACCTGTGTTGTTCATT